TGGAAACGCAGAGACAGGGGGCAGACCCTCCCTCCCTAACCAACTTGAATACCTATTGAGTGACAGGTATCTCAGCTGGGCGATAAATAGCTTCAAGCCTTTCAAATTAAATTCCTTCTCAAGACAATGGAGAGACTAATCAGCCTCCACATGAATCTTACTATCAACCCAGATGATATCTCGGAATCACAGCATGCGTATAGGAAGGGCCGATCCACGGAGACGGCACTCTACGAGATCGCTACTTTCATCGAAAAGGCACTTAGTGACAAGGAATACGCACTCATTGCTTTTCTAGACATAGAAGGTGCTTTCAACAACATCCTACCAAGCTCGATAATCAATGCGCTGACGGGACTAGGAATAGACAATCAATCCATACGCCTTATAGAGCAGATCCTGGTAAACAGGACTGTTGAGGGTCCTTGGGGTCCTCTCAACATGGGCAGTTAGAAATGGAGTAGGTGTAAACCCGTCCAAAACCGAGCTCGTCCTCTTCACCAGGAAGTACAAAATACCAGACTTAAGGCTTCCAAAACTATCAGGAGAAACACTCTCCCTTAGCGGTAGCGCCAAGTACCTAGGGATTGCGCTAGACAGGACACTGGACTGGAAGTGAAAAACTATGGATAGAGCTAACAAGGCAACAATCGCGCTTTATACATGCCGAAAAGCCATTGGCCTTAAATGGGGAATGTCCCCAAAAATAGTAAGATGGCTTTACACAGCGGTCATAAGACCCATCCTTTTCTACGGGGTGGTGGTCTGGTGGCCTGCTCTCATAAACTCCACATGTAGAGAGAAACTTAGGCAAAGAATGGCGGAGGTCTGTATCACAGGCAGCCCTACGTACTACACCGACGGATGCCCTAGACTTCATACTCGACTTTTTACCGGTAGAGATGGACTGACTATGGGCATACCAAGTTGGACCTACACCACTGCACGCCAACGGGGTCTACAGACTACTGCGTACCTGTTGATCATCCCACCTTAAAATACGAGGTTTCCTTTCCAACAAGGGAGGAATGGGCCACACAAATCCCGGGACCAGCCGGTTTCCTCCATATTTACACAGACGGTTCAAAATTGAATGGCCAGGTGGGAGGCGGTTTCCATTGCGTACGGCTGTGTCTAAATGAGTCTTTCAGACTCCCCGACCACTGTAGTGTGTTCCAAGCAGAAGTAATAGCTATCGGGGAAGCACTTAGATCCCCAGCACTTACTGGCAATTATCTTCTCAGATAGTCAAGCGGCACTCAAAGCCCTTGACTCAAGTGGATGGGGGTGTCAATCACTGGCCCCACATCGCCCACTCAACCTAACCCAACCTAACCTTGGTTCGTATTCTTTCTACGTATTCTGTAGTAGTATAAATGTATATACCTATAATACCAAAACATATTAATACCCATTATTTAATAACGTTTTCAATAAAAAATTAACCTTTTTTTTAATTCATAGCCAACTTTAATGAAAATTTAAAACTAATAAAGAAATCAATCAATATATCACTAGATCTCTTCAGTGAAATTATCGAGAATGAATTTCCAAAAAGAATTCTTAAGGGCTTCGAGTACCTTAGGACCTTCGAAGAAATAAAAAGCAACTATGAAAATAAGTAAGCAAATGAAAAAGATACATCTCATAAAGATGTTCTCCTCTTCATTGGCTTCCAAGAGTACCCGGGCCTTCCATCTCTCCTCGAAGCCGCTCTGTTCATAGCGTTCACGTAGCTCAAGGACGTGGCGGATCAGCTCATTATCTACACCGCTGATTTGAATCTGGCCGGATTTGGAGTTCTCTTTCTTCGCTTTCTGTGTGGACCTCATCTTTACCTCAGTCTTTACCTCAATCAAAGGTGCATTGGAGTCGACCTTGTCCACCGACTTCAGTTTGCCAGTCCCCGACCGAGCAATGGGACCCGGATTTTTCTTCGCTCTTCGGACACCTTTCTCATTCTTCTCCTGGCTGGGAATCTTCGTGGAAGTCGGCAAGATTTCTTTTTTCTCGGCAATAGGTTTTGGTTCAGTTCGTTTGAACTGAAACGACTCCAGTACTTTGGAGAACTTCTTAAGGCACTTTAAGGTTTCGAAATGAATTTCCCTAATTTCTTCTCGATTTTCCTCCAGATTCTTGAGGAAAATATCCTCCTTGGCAGTGGTCTTATTACACCTCTTCTCTTTCTTCGCCTTCTGTGTGGACCCGCTACCTACCTCATTTAGTATCCCAATCGAAAGTTGTCCTGTCTCCGTCCGAGCAATGGGGATCGAGGGTTCGGGCTGTGGTCGTTTAATACTGATCCTCGGTCTTTTCTTTTCTCTTCGGACTTCATTCTCATTCTTCCCCTCGCTGGGGATCTTTGATGAAATCTGTGGAATGGGTTTTCCAGTCCTTGCAAACTTAATCAACTGCAGTATTTCGCAGTTATCCTCAACGCTCCTTATAAATTTCAAAAGGCCTTCAATGATTTCTTTTGAATTTTCCACCAGATCCTTGAGTAAAATATCCTCCTTGGCAGTGGTCCACATCTTATTACACATCTGCAAGTGCAGTTTCGAAGCTGTGGAACATTTGGATGGAGAAGGTGAATACCAAATTATTTATATGGGTGTTTCAGAACTTACTTGGGTCCGAGGCTAACAGATTCTTCTCAGAGTCGAGTATTCTGGGATGGATTGAAGTCAAGTGGCTGGATAGTGCCTGGGCTCTGGGTAGAATAGCCGTGTTCATCTCAGAGCTGACCCTTCTTCTGCGGAGGTATGTTGATACCTCGGAACGAGCCAGAACCTCCTCAGAGTTGAACTTTCTCGGGTGGAGTGGAGGCGAGTCAGTCCGGGCTATAGAGTCCGGAGTCCGGTCATTCTGAGAGTTGACCTTTGTGGGTAGAATCGCTGAAGAGTCCAAAGAGCCACGGCTCATCTCAGAGTGGAGCTTTCTGGAGAGGCTTGGTGAAAAGCCAGACAGAGCTGAAATCGTCTCTGCGTTGACTCTTGTGGGATGAGGGAGTGGGCCCATTGGCGGTGAGTGGGGCTCATCCGTTAATACTGGATCCATGTCAGTGTCGACTTTCCTGGGAGAGATTGGTACGAACCAGAAGGAGTTTGGAACCTTCTCAGCTTCACCTTGACTTGAAGAGATTGATGGGAACTCTAATGTCTCTTCATCTTTCAATTTATTCCCAGCAGAATTCTTAACTTTTACCATGTTGAAAAATATAATAAATTTTTCTCTAAAAAATATATTTGTTGTGAGAGGCTCTGAGAGCGTTATTGAAATGTGATGTTTGAAATTCAGGAACATATATTTTTGAAAAACTAAAGCCTAAGCCTGCTTTTTATACCTTTTTATATCCTTGTAAATATTATAAAACTTTTCAGTGAGGGTTTTTGAATTTTACAGATTATTTTAATTCGCATCTTCAGTTTCCAAGGTGTGCGACCCCTCTATAAAAATAGCTGCACTTGGGAAGCTGCACTTGGTCTCCGGGAGGACCACCGCTTTCGCAATACGTAATTCCTTATCACATTCAAAAACGCTCTATAGTCCTTTAAAAATCGTCTATTTTCAAGAACTCATTCATCCCTGAGCCGTTCGCACCTATACTTTTCAATAAAACATTGGATGTAAAAGGTTCATCAAAATCTGGGACTAATAGTAGTCCATGACTTGAAATGTCAAATTTAAAAGTCCTGTACCGTTCGGATGATTTGTAGAAGGATCAGTATAACAACGAGTTTCCTAGAGCTAACATCAACAGCTCAGTTTCAAAATTCATAATAATTTATACATTTTGTAATTTAGTACAAGGAATTTCGAATTCAAGTAACCATGTCTGATACAACCGTTTTTTCGTCCAACGCCTCGATCACCGAATCGGAGATCTCGTTCGGAGTTCCTGCAGTTGCTTCCTCCCAAGGGTCGCAGAATGCCAAGGGACCCCAGAGTCCCGTCGCTGCCGTAGTTCCTGAGAATGCGGCACCGGAGGTATCTTTCGTAAAGGACGATGACGAGGAGAAGGAAATATCCGGGCAGCCCGCGTTAGATACTGTCCAGCCCAACCAGGTCAAGCCCAACACGGAATCCAAGAACGCTTCCATGGAAGGAGACGATCGCGTTTACATCAAGGTTCTGGCTGATAAGGAGACCATTTATCGGTTCCGGATCAAGAGGGACGTGAAATTGGCCAAATTGATGGGTGCCTACAGCCTAGAAGCGGACCTGCCCATTGGGAACTTTCGATTCTATTACCAGGGAAAGATGGTCGACAAGGATGACACCATCCAGAGCCTGGCTCTGCCATGGGGCTCTGTCATCGACGCCGTTACTGATCTAGAGGGATGGGACCATTCCTTCAATGAATTCATGAATTCGCTAAATGTTTTCTAAATTCAAGCATTGTCTGATGCGATGTGTTATGAGTGTGCGACTTGATCCCCCGGTATTTAGCTTTCACCGAAGGATGGCCAGCGCTTTCCAGAACTAGCAGAGTTTTGGAATATAATGTTTGGAGATTATAATAAAAATTTTAAATTTCAACAAAATATACTGTTTTTGTGGGTAGCTATTGTGAATCACTGTAAACGGCTTTAGAATTTTGAATGGAGACTCCTATTTCTAATTTAGGATTTAGGTTCAATGCATAACAAATTAAAGCTTTCGTGATAGACTGCTTACATTTTTTAGTTCAACTTCCTCTTGAACTAAGAGGAACTTCCTCCATTTCGGAGCTGACATTTTTATTTTTTGAACAAAATTAAAATTTTGTAGGAATTATTAATAAAATATTTATAACTGATCCAAAGTCGAAATGAGAAGAAGGTCCTCTAAAGAATTTTAAATTCAATTTAAAATTTAAAAGAAAAATTAACGTTATTTTTTATAAATAACGATAATTAGTTTTGTGAGGTCACACTATTTGAGAAAAAATAGTGCTGCCTGAGGGTTTAATAAATGTGTGACAGTCTGGCAATACCGAAATATACCAGATAAAAATACTGATTAAAATGAAATGGTATCATAATACCAACATCATCAGAGACAACACCGAAAAACAGCCCCCCGCACACAAAGAAAATGCTGAAAAGTGAAGGAAAAGCGCTGGTAAACTCCGCCAACTGATAGTGGCTGATCGATTCCAATTGGAGAGGTTCGATTTGGAAGCTTCGTCCTGCTGAAATCACTGGGAGGTAATCCGGAAAGTGGCTGGCGTTCCCCTGCCCCCGCTGAGCAACCGTGAGTGAGAGACAGGTAGTGGAGAGGGAGAACGAGAAACAGGCGGAGGAGTTGAAGAAAAGAAATAGCAAGGATACCGCAGGAACCGCAGAAAATGGCCACCCAAAGGACACAGATGCAGGCGAGGAACGCCAGTGCCAGTTCCACCGAATCCGACTATGAAACGCTCATGCAAAGGCTGCATATCGGTGGGGCAGGACCAGGAGGCGGGGTGCCGCAGCAAGTGGGCGGGGCCCACAGCATGAGAGGATACCAACGTTCGCCGGGCGCCATTGAGAACTTCCTGCAGGACAGCCAGCACATGCAGCACTCGACTATTCACCATCCGGATTATAAGATGTACGAAAGGAGCAACATTATAGCCGCCTCCAAATATGCCACGCCCCGTCCGGTTGAGCAGCTAATGACGACAACGAATGGCAGTGCCCAGATCTATGCGCCCACCGCCCAAATCCTTGGCCAGAGGATTGTGCCCCAGAAACACTCGCCGGTCTACGAAAATCTCGAATTTTACGGCCAATTCGATTCGAATCACAAGCGGGCCCAGCCCCAGAGTCCTGGCAGCCGACAGAGCACCATGCTGAACGACTATCTTCTGATGCAGCCCATTCGCTTCGCCCATACGCCGGTGCCGGAGCATCCGCCGCTGGATGCCCGGATGGGGCGGGGTGCTGGGGCCACGGAGGAGCATGCTGCGCCGATTTACGAGAACATCATTCCCCACTCTGGGCAGCGGGCTCAACCACAGGCCTCGCCGGCCACGGCCACCATGTACCAGGAGCTGCAGACCACCACCACCACCAATAGTGCGGGCGGATCCAACTCCAGCTCCACCAGTGGGCTGGATCTGAATGCGATGCTGGCATCGCCGCTCCACCAGCGCAGCATCAGCAGCAACACGGCCAGCTCAAACTCGCTGGGATCGCCGACGCAGCGGTATCGCAACTTGTCCCTGCCCAGCCACCTGAGTCCCGTTCCCACAACGCACTCGGTGGCCAAACTGCAGCAACACACGCCCATCAAGTCGCCGATCAACGTCTCCGTCAATCCCAACTACATCGAGGACATCAACAGCTCCGACTACGTCTGCATGACGGCGAACCTTCACAGGAATCCCGGCTTGGCCACGGGGAAGGTGGCCACAGCAGGAGCAGCCCCACAGCGCGCCTTCCCAGAGCCTAGTGTCATGCTACCATCCACATCGGGGGCAGGAGCTGGCGGAGTAGCGGCACCTGGCCCATTGCCAGAGACCGGCGCCGCCTCTTCAGGAGCGCCTGCCTCATCAACGCCAGCATCGGCAGTTCCTTCGCGGGCCACGCCCATCGCAATGACAGCCCCCCTGGCGGTGGCCACATCACCCACTCCCTCCCAAGGAAGCACCGGTGAGTGAATCGTTTTTCCAGTAGGACCTGACCCGACCCGAGGTCCAATGGTGTGGGGGGCAAGGATGAGCCTGCCCCCAGCTGGATCCTGGACCCCGGTTCGTGCCACAGAGCTATCTAATCCATCTAATCTAATCTAACCCCAAAAAATGCTGCACGCAGCGGTTAATGCCGCCCTGAAGCCCAGGAGAGGTAGGAACTGGGGGAGTGGTTAGATTCCAATGGGGGACGGGGACGGGGGCGAGGGTGCGGATGTCCATCAATCATAAACCGGTTCGGCTGGGAATCCTTTACCTGCGCCGATACGGGATGAGTGATGGAATGGAAAAGGAATTCGATTTTTTGTTCGTAGTTCTCTTTGGTTCATTATTCATCCGTGGATCCGTGATTCACTGCATCTGTTTTAGAAGTTTGGAAATATGAGTTACCAGAATACCTGGCTTATTTATTTTGTTCATTAACGATTCGCCGACGATGACTAAGCCCGAGTCTGGGTGCGTCATCGGGCAAGAGGCGAAAGCATGACCTAATCTCTGGCCAATTTCGAACAGGTCTCACCAAGAATCTGCTGCCGTACAGCGTCACCCCGCCGCGTCCGGCTGGTCCCACGGAGGCGCAGCGCAAGATCGAGGAGCTGACCCGCCAGCTGGAGGAGGAGATCGAGCAGAGCGAGGAGCACGGCGAATACTTTGGTAAGATACTCCATTAATCTCAAAGAGAATCCTGTATCCAACAATATTCACTCGACAGGCATATGTCACACCTGCGGCGAGAAGGTCAAGGGCGCGGGTCAGGCGTGCCAGGCGATGGGGAATCTCTACCACACCAACTGCTTCATCTGCTGCTCCTGCGGCCGGGCTCTTCGCGGCAAGGCCTTCTACAACGTGCACGGCCGGGTCTACTGCGAGGAGGACTATATGGTGAGTTGAGTGGCGCTCCCAGTCCTCGAGGTTCGAGTCCTAATCCAGTCATTCCCCTTTCAGTATTCGGGCTTCCAGCAAACGGCGGAAAAGTGCGCCATATGCGGCCACCTGATCATGGAAATGGTTAGTACTCCCTCGCTCTATCCGTCCCTCTCTACCTGACCGTCTCTTTCTTTTTCCTCGCACAGATCCTGCAGGCCATGGGCAAGTCGTATCACCCGGGCTGCTTCCGGTGCTGTGTGTGCAATGAGTGCTTGGACGGAGTGCCCTTCACCGTGGACGTGGATCACAAGATCTACTGCGTCAACGACTACCATCGCATGTTCGCCCCCAAGTGCGCCAGTTGCGGAAAAGGTGAGCTCCCATCGGATGATCCTGGGTCTGATCCAAGCTAATGCTGTACTCTTTTTCAGGTATTACCCCTGTGGAGGGCACCGACGAGACCGTGCGGGTCGTCTCCATGGACAAGGACTTCCACGTGGACTGCTACATCTGCGAGGAGTGCGGCATGCAGCTGACGGACGAGCCGGACAAGCGCTGCTACCCGCTGGACGGGCGCCTGCTCTGCCGGGGCTGCCACCTCCAGCGCCTGGCCCTCCAGTCCTCGCCGCACGCCCGCCACCAGGAGCCCGTATGCGCCTCCTACCAGTACATGGGATAGATCCCATGGAATGGGCCGCCGCATGGGCCCGGAGGCCGCCCGCCTCTCTTTGACTGAAAAATGGCGCACAAAAGCATTAAAATTCATTCGAATCACGAACAAACTATCGCAATCAACATATTCCAACTACCAACTACCAATTACCAATATTATTCTTAAACGAAAAGTGAAACAAATGCATTTATATACACAACTGCTACGTCGAATGGCTTTTATTTGGCGACGAGTGGCAGTGCACTGTAGGGACCTTTAAGGACCTTTATAAAACTATAGACTAATCTTTTTTTATATGGCTTTTTGCAACTCAATACCAATAATGATAATTATCAGCCCACAGTGCTATCGATTGTCAAAGTGAGCTGTTGAAAGAAAACAGCAGGTGCTTGAGAATATAAAATATTTCGGGGTCTTTCAGATCCGTGGTCTTTCAATTATGCACCGACTAGTGCCAATGCACTAACTATCATAATCATAGAGCTAAGAGGTTCAGAAGACCGAGAGGCGCTTGAGAAACTTTTTATTAGTATTTATTAAGCTATTCGTTATTTATTAATCTAAGAGGAGTTTGTAAGGAAATTTAAAATACTAGATTTTAAATTTGAAGGCTAGGAAAAAAATGTTATAGAGTAGAGACTTTGAACATTGTAGTTCGAACATAAGAACCCAAGAGGGTCGTCGTGCTGTGCATATGTCGAGCTACAATGGCTAAGGAATAGAGACTATAGTTTCTAGTCCTTCTTTTAGGAATATTGTAATTAAAGAGTGTTAGTAAGTGCTGGCTATCTATATCCCCACTGATTAGGTTATGTAGAAAAACTACACCCAGAATTGCCCCACTATTAGTTAAGGTTAGTAAGTTTATTATTAGAAGTCTGATTTTATAAGATGGAAGATGAAGATTTCCATCCCATTAATTGGGATGAAGACCTCGCCCATTAATTGGGAAAAATTCATACTAAAATTTATTTTTTTACAATTTGCGATGGGCAAACCACCTTCACACTGAGAAATACTTGGGTATGACTCTGGGCAGGCGTCTAACTTGGAGACCCCATCTACTGCGCAAACGGAAACGAATGGACGAAGTTATTCTGGACATATGGGATCTAGCTGAGGGGTACAGCGAGCCCTAGTAACCTAGCCCTAGCAGACTCGTCCAACTGGCGCAAAATGGCGTACCCTGGGTCAGCAGCGAAGTCCAACGATTTGGCACCAGGTATGTGGGCCAGCATCCGATCTTCTTGGACACCAACCTGCTGGAAACAGCAACACCACCAGAAGGCTATAGAGGATAAACCTGTTTTGGCTCCTAGTTCATTAAATTCAATTTCCTAGCATGTTAAGTAAGATTTCAAGGTATAATTTGATTATTGTCCACTCTGAATACGGACAGATATTAAATAAAGCTCTAATAAAAGATAATACAAAATCTCCAATCGTACTTGAAGAGCCTCAAGTGCCTCAAGAACCCTTTGTACTCAAATGTCCTAAAAAAAACATCCACAAAAACATAAAAACTTATTTAAAAATTCCATTATAATCTTAAACAGGGGCGAGTGGAAAACAATTTACTGTAATCTTAATGTGGGAAGTGGGCAGTGTTAGTGCATAAGGATCTCCAGTTGGACGAGCCGTTGGTTGGTCTGGTTGGGCATCCGGTAGGGAACACTGGCCGCCATGTTGGTCAGGGCCTTGGCTCGGCCGCGCAGGTGCCGCAGAGTCGCCTCGAGGGCCTCGTTACTGTCCTCCACCCCGTACTCGGATGGCTGACCAGAATTGCCCTTAGTCTTGACATACTCGTCGTATATGATGTCCATGGCGGCTAGCATCACGTCCGGCAGCACCCGGATGATGTCCGGGCCCATGCGCTTCAGGTTGCCGACGCACTCGTCCACCTCCGCGCTGTTGGCGGGTATCAGACGATTCTTGGCCAGGACATCCGACGCCAGGCGGGGCTGGCCGGCGTGAACAAGATCGAAGAACCGCATCAGCTGCGTGAGCATCGAGTAGGTGGTCAGGATGTGGGACTCCAGGTCGGTCTTGCGCACAGCCAGTAAGCTGTCCAGTGTTATGATGATATCACACAGCCTGTCGCGCAGCGACCCGGGGCGCTGCGGTTGGTGGACCACCTGGGATATCAGGGAGCAGGCCAGCCGCAGGGCCTTGTCCAGCTGCCCGGCAATGAAGTACAGCCGGATGGCCGACTCAAAGTTGCTGCGCTCCGCCAGATCGTCGCCCACCTTGCCGGCCAGCGTGTACTTGTCGCAGTCCAGGTTGGGGAACTCCGAAAATATGCCTCTGAAACGGGATACAGAAGACTTTACACGCTGGAATCTATAGCCAGAGGATCACTGTGCTTACCCAATGAGGTTGCCCGTATCGGTGTGATCCTCGTAGCCGAAAACGAGCGCCAGCATCTGGTCGTCGGAGTTCTCCACCAGCATGTCGCAGACACAATTCAGCATCACGTTGTTGCCCTTCGCGTCCCTGAAGTTGCGCAAGAGGTAGTAGTACTGCATCGCCTGGGCAGTGTCGGTCTGCTCGAAGCCCTTGGCGTACATGACGATCAGGCGGACCAGGTTCAGGCGCTTCATGGGCGCCGGATCGTCCGGCTCGCAGCTCAGCAGCGGCGCCGCAACAGAACTGGGAGTGCCGAGCATGCATAGCTCGTTGAGGGCAATGGCCATGTGAACGGCGTGGGGCCGATTCGTGTCTGTGCGGGACAGGAACTCGATGGCCGACTCGAACTGTCCGGTGAGGGCCAGGACCTGGAAGTAGAGCGGCGCCTTTTCGCGGGCATTGAAGTAGTTCTCGCCGTACTTGTCCAGAATGAGGGACTGCAGGCCGGGGTAGGTCAGCTGCTCGATGTCGTAGTGGCGCTTGTCGTTCAGCCGAAGGATCGAGAGCTGCAGCCACAGGAAGTCGTCGATGGTGCGCATCAGCTCCACGTGCCCGTCGTGGGGATCGCAGGTGAGCACTATGGCGAATACCTATTGCGGGGCAAGGGTTTGGATTAAAGTACATTTTCTGGAGGAGATACCCTCATCGAGGTACTCACCGCCTTCTTGTAGGGATCGTTGCAGATGCGCAACTTGTTGTTGTACTCCAGCTTCAGTGTGGTTTCAATCTTCGAGGTTGGGGTCTCCGTGTCGCCGCGCTTCTGCAGCAGCATCAGCTTGAGCAGATCGGGACAGGTGCCCGACTCCCTGAGGAACTGAATCGCCGCCGCCAAGTCACCGCTCCTCAAGCTGTAGTAGATCAGTGGCCACAGGGGCTTTCCGTCGCTGATGTCCTCCAGCCCGACTAGCGATCTGGGCAAATGAAAATTGACGCCCACATAGGAGGAGACCAGGTTGTAGGTATTGGGGATTCCACCGCGCGCGGCCACCAGCAGATTCTTCTGGACGACCGTGTTCATGTAGGTCTTGTAGCGGCGCTCCAAGTAGGTGCGCGCCTGCTGGATGAATTGGGGAGCAGTTTGGCGGGTGTGTATGGGATCAGTGGTGCGCACTAGCGGCGTCACGTCGGCCATGTACTCGAGTACACCCCACATTTCCTGCACATGCTCGTCATCGAACTTTTCCGACAGCTTGGCAAAGGTGGCCACCAGGTTCTCACGCTGCGAGCCCTGACCGTTGGCCTCGTTGTAGGCCTTGATCCTTTCGGCGTACTTCTTCTGCATGTTGTCGAGCAGGCGGGAGAACGGCAGCGGATTATCGGCCAGAGTCGTGCTCACTGTCTGGCACTGCAAGTCGGGGAAGATCTCCGGCCGGGGACCCACCAGGGCGTTAAGAAGCACCTCCTTTTCCTCACCCCATTCAGCGTAAACGCAACGCCATTTCTGCAGCTCCACAGCATCGAAAATCTGGCGAATGTCAAGAGGGGATAATTTGTTGGAAAATTCATAAAGATATCGAGTACACATACGCTGCGGTTGGTCTCTTCAATGACAGACAGAATGGCGTTCTCCCGCTCGTTCTTCAGATATCCCTGCACATCGGTGTCAGTGACAGGGTCCAGGGGCTCGAACGATTTTCGCGCGCTCAGCGACTCTAGCTTTTGCGACAGTATCGGCAGATCCACGCCCTTTGAGCCAAGCAGTATGTGGCTGGAAATGAAAAGGGCTATGAAGAACGCCTCCTTGCATTCATTTTAATGGAGAACTCACGCTTGGAGATCGTTGGTGCCGGTTTGGGTGACACGCGAGTGCAGTTCCTGGGTGGCTTGGAGCACCTGGGAGATGGTGCGCTCCACTCGCGGCATCTCCGTGTCCATCTTCGTCTCGTTGGTGAGGCGCTGGGCCTGTTGCAGCAGCTCCACCAGGTCCATGTTGATGGGGAAAAGCCGGTTCGTTTTTTGGGAGAAATATAAAAAAAAAACAAAATCGGCTTCCCGAAGGCGCGTGCTAGTGTGACCAGAGTGGCAGTGTGGCCAGTGGCGCCACTGATATTTCAAAATATGTTGCAATAATTCGATAGAGGATTTTCAGTTATTCGAGCTTTTATTAAAAGTACTAGTAAAAGTAAATGTTTTTAAATTACCACGATTAATTGATACTAGTGAAGGCTTGTCGTCCACAGAGATTCTTGCTATAAAATCATAAAACTACATTAACGGTTTCACTTTTGTATAATATTTTTTTTAGTTTTAAAATGATTTAATGAACAAAATGATTTAATGAATGATTTAAAATGAACAAAATAAATCCAATATTTTTATTTGCTGGTAGAACTGGAATTCGGTAGGAATCGATAACACTTGTGAACCGATATACCATGTATGAAATTATCACGATAGTTCTTTGTCGATAAGCCGATTGGTAGTAGCACCTGGTCACACATGCCAATCCAAAATCGCTGGTAAATCGCCCAGAAACCGCATTCGAATCGCAAATTCCGCCTCGGCAGCCCGCAAATCGAAGAGCAGATTAAGAAGCAGCAACGCTACAACGTATTTATTTAATTTTTTTTGACTACGAGATCGTCTCGTCTGTGTGTGTGAGTGTGTGTGACAGCTCGGTGTCGTCCAGTGACTGTGTCGGCGTCTGTGCGTAAGTGTGCGTGTGTTGGCCAAAAAAATTAGCACAACAAACAACAAAAGCGACCAAAGTAAAAAAAAAAAGAAGAAATCAAGGAACGCACCGCCAGTCACGCGGACAAAACGAAGAATTCATTTTTGAAGAAGCTATCGGAGAAGAGTACCCAGAGGAACCATGTCCGCCGACGTTGAAACGCAGCAGCAGGAGTCCACCAACGGCACTAGCAAATTCGATGTGCCCGAAATCGAGTTGATCATAAAGGTAAGCGGAAAAGTTGGAAAAATGCAACTAATATACATACATATACATAAATACATATGTATGTATGCAAAAATCTACTTTGCATCTACACACCTACATGCAGACAGTGTATGGGTGTGCGTGCGGCTTTGCGAAAATTTCCATGCAGCGGCGAGGGAAACTGCAGCAGCAGCACCAGCAGCAGCAGCTGCCAAAGCAACAAAACAAAAAAGAAGGGAAACTAGAAAAAAAAAACACAAACTGCCGTTTCTCTTCTCCTTGTGTGCTTCTCCTGCTAGCCGCGCTGCTTCTTCTTCTTCATTCTCGCACTTTGCAGTGTGTCACAGAATACTACAAACACTGAGGGCCAAGAATGTAGTAACACCTCTAGGGCCCCTTTCTTGGTGCATTATAAAGTTGGGAGTTATTTATTTAGAAATTATAGGAAAATAAAGAAGGAAATATTTAATGTTATTTTTTTCATTAAAAACTTGTATTTTCTTACATTCCTTAATTTTATCTTACCAATTTCAACTATAATATGTTTTTAAATACTTGAAACTATCAAAAATATACATTTTTTGGCTTAAACCTTTATACATTTTCTTAAGAAAAATTCACTTGACTTGAAAATATTTAGAGTACTTAAATTAAACAATAAATATTTAACGAGATAGGTGATTCAAAATACAGAATTGTAACCATTTATTTGAGTTTATAAGTATTTTTTGTTTTGTTTTATGGCAAAATGATTATAAATCATTCTTAATTTTTTCTTCCTTAATCTGAATATGACTTCAACTTCTTTTAGACTTCGTTTTTTAAATTATAGGTGTATGTTTTTGTACTTATGAAGTCTTAACTATACTTTGGTAAAGCGAATATGTAATATTTAAGTGAAGAAATTGAAAAATCTGAAGAAACATATAAGAAACTAAATATTTGAGTATTTCATATTTCAAATAATAGCTTTTTTTTTTAATTAAATTAGAAAAGTTAGTAGGGATAATTTTCTTAAAGAACTAAACCTCAACGAAATTAACACTTTTTATGACCTAATATTATAGAAAGGTTGTTAAAAATATAATTTTTATCACAGAATTTAATTCATTTAATTTCCTCAAGGAACCAAATCCTAAAAGAATATGTTCATTTGACATTTTGAAGCCCACTTTGAATTTGAATCCATTATGCGTGCTAATTAGCTCTTACCAGTTGGCCTGGAGTGTGTATCCCCCCTTTTTCACACTTTTCCCCACCTTTTTCCGTTGCGCCTCGTCTGTCTATTTATGTGTGTGTGTGTGTGTTTTTGTAGTTATTGTTTTTTGTAGTTTCTAAGCATCGCCAAAACCGGTTCTTCTTCCTCGCTCCCTATCATCCGAGAAGACACACACACACACATAAAACCACACTACGTATCTGCATACAGGCATGTACTATATGTAGGTGTACTGATATGGTGTGCGTGTGCAAAGTCTGCAATTCTGGAACGTAACATATTTCCCCCGATTTCTTATCTGCCTCTATCTGCCATAAACTTTAATCACATTTCATTGCGCCAATTGCTCCACAAATGCTCGGCGACTCCTGCTTTTTGGAATTTTCGTTTTCGACACCACCACCACCACCACCAACAACAACAACAACACACGACTGTTCTACAATTAAAAGTTGCTTGTACCCCTCTATCTACTGAAGTATGCATGTGTGTGCCAGTCAGTGTGTGTGTGTCTGTGCTTGTGAGGGTTCTTTTTTTTTTATCGTTTAGTGATTTCTAAATTTCTTGGCGCATACGTCATGCCCCACGTCCAAATAATCGAAGAAAACACAAAAGCTAACACCTATGTATGGGCCTACAGTGCCGGTCAAGGTGCTGGCGTTCATAAATCTAAACATTTTTACTTTTACAGTTTTTTGGTTTTGCAGTTTTTTGTTTTGTTTTTGCGGAAATTTACATATTTGGCATTTTTATTGTTTTTCCCCATTTTTTGATAGTTTTTGTTCTGAGGGTCTTTTTCAAAGTTTGAAAATGCTGTTTTTTCCAATATTTCGTATTACATTTTTCACATATTTCCAATTTTAATATTTTTATGGAGTTTTTGCAGAACTACATACATATGTATATTAAGAATTGGACATTTTTCTTAATTATCAACTCTAAATTTTCAATTCTCCATTAGAAAATTATCAATAATCAAATCTTAATTTTGTAATAGTGTTCGCACTGATAGAAGATTTTGATAGAATTTTGTTTCTTTTTTCAGAATAAATGAAGTTTTTCTCTATAAAAAAAACCTTTTTGAAGAACTTTATTGTTCTTTGTTTTTTTTAAATCTATTTAGAATTCTTAAATGTTTTGTATTCTTTTAGTCGTTCCGTTTTTATACCATTTGAAGAAATTTATCTTTTTCTTGGAATTAAATATTTAACTGGAAAAAGGAAGTTATTTTTGCAATTGTTTAGCAAATATTTTTCGCAAGCTTTTTTTTTAACTATTTTTCTCAGAAATCTACATATTTTGCGATCTTGGTGTTATTTAGAATTCAATATTTAACTTGAAATTGTCGTTATTTATTAAATAATAATAATAATAATAATAATACTATTTAGTTTAAAATTTATATATTTTTCTCAAATATTTGAGACAAATTTTAATGTAGGTTTTTGTTGAAACTCTTTTAAACTCTTTTTAGAAATCTTTAGGTATCTGTATTTTTAATAAACTTTTTTATTTCTATATTTAGAATCTTTATAATATGAGTTTCTTCAATTTAATGAGTTTTCTAAGAATCCAAATCTAACCTTAATAATTCCATCTATAAACATATAATATAACATAATAATATACATATAAACATTCTATACCTATTGATAGTTATTGAAAAAATAATAATCAGTTTATCTGACCTCGGCCCTTCGTGGCTCGAAAAGTCTGTATTTTCTTGTAGTTCTGGGCATTAAAATTAGAAACAAATTAAACCGAAATACAATTAACTTTTTCCCACAACTGTGAGTGCGCGGAGGGATGACTCTTGTGGCTTTTTATTTTCTGTTTGACTTCCCACCAAAGTTTGCCAAAGTCATTGTAATTGTTTTCGGAACACTTTGGAGCCGCAGTCGGAGGCCTGCTGTTTGTTGATTCTATCGAATCACTTGCTCCGCTTATAGCAGCCCACGCCATCGCTGGCCGCACCCCAAAAGCCATGACTAAGCCCATCCTATACCTATACCTATACCTATACTTATACCTCTACCATTCCCAAAAAAAAAAAACCCAACTCCAAGTGCAATGAGCATTGGCCAGCAGTACGCGACTCCGCTCCCTTTTCCTGTCAAGCTTTATTCAAAATTTTCATTTCTTTCTTTCTTTTGGGAGAAAGTACTGGCTGGCGCACCTGCTGCGCTGAATTTCCTACCGAGATCTCCAAGAAGAATCATCTTTGACATAACTTTTGTGCAGCAACGCACTCGAGACTCCAAACAAGGCAAACGCAACATTTCCATTTTCATTTCCATTTCCACATTTCCACATTTCCCAGCGTAGCAGCAGCAGCATCGGCGAAAGTGAAAGTTCAAATTGGTGTGCGGAGGAAAGTCGGAGCCATAAAGCATTGGGCTTTGGATCGTGGCATGCCTCTCTGTTCCGCGCGTGCAGGCAACAAACAAATACAAATGTGTTTTCTTGTTTCAAAGTGGCAGTGGCAGTGGCAGGGGCAGGGGCACGGCCAGCAGTCTAACAAAACAATCATTGAACGCTAAACAGGTTTTTCTCGTGCGCGCTTTTCCGCCTCCTTCACGGCCCCCATCTCGGGCTGGTTTCAGTTTCCAAAAACAAGCTCCAAAGCCAATGCCTTCCTCTCAGCTGGCCAGAGTCAGCATTGGAATTGGAGTTGGAGCTGGAGTGGGAGTTGGAGTTGGAGTCATCGCCCACGCGATCCGTCGAGTTCCAGAAATTGGCCATGCCAGCCATCGGTTCGAATCAAAACAAAGCGGCAATCAAAACAAAACACCATTCGCACGAACAGAAACAGTTGAGGAGTGTTTTTCTTTAAATATTTATATATTCTTTCTCTTTTTTGAGAGACTAAAGATGCTAAAAACTAAGACTCAAGTTAGTAACATTCTATAGAGTGTTTTAAATAGATAGTTTTCAAAGAAAAGCAAAGTTTGGTGGCTCTAGTTCTAGTTCTAGATATATACCTTTTGAAAAAGTCTAGGGGCTTTGGTAATTTAAAGCTTAAGTTCTAGGAAATCCATACTATATTGTCATAAAAGTCATAGTATTCGATTACAGTTCAGTGGAAGAGCAGAAACTATAACTACTGGGAACAATATCTACAATAGGTGGATACAATAGCCCTATATCTATATGGATTCTTAATAAAAACTGTATAATAATAAACAGAATATAGTACCCCTCTGTAGTAAAGTGGAAAAAGGAACCCTAGCTACTGGCTAGAATAGCTATAAAGTATATCTAGTTAGGTAAAAGTATCTAGTAACTAAAAATTCACAAACAGCGATTGTGAATCCGATTTAGTGAAGAAATCATGGTACTAACTGGTACCTGTATATGTTGTCTAAGGAGATATCCAGTCAAATATTAAGAAAATCTAAGGGCTCTTAGCCCTAAGTTAGCTCTTAGTTCAGAACTATTTGTTGGCTTAAAATAAAAAATAAATGCTTTAAATAACTAATATAATAACTAATAATAATAACTAAAAACTGTAAATAAATATAATTTTTTATAAAAAGCACTTGCATTTCATAGATTAGCATTCAAAAAATTCCAAAAACATAAAGAGTGAGAATCTGCTTGTATTTTGTATTTAAACAAGAAAGGAAAGCTAACTTCGGGCGGAGCCGAAGTTTATATACCCTTGCAGTTAAAACCGGATATATATCGCAAACATCGGATATAGTTGGCCGATCCTTATGGGAATAGGAATATATAATCCTATTTATTTCAATACAAAATCTAAAAAAAGACCCAAACTTCTATCTTCAAAAATACGAAAGTT